TGCAATGTTTCCAGTTCAATCCAAATGCACCCAGTTTTGTGCCTGGTACGTTGAATATAGTTAGTCAGCCGGAGTGGACACAAGATCTCTACCAGTTGTGGGGCACCAGTGCGGTGGAGAATGATGGTGTATGGGTTGCTAACTTTCTTACCTGGTTCGTTTCGCCTGCCAATGGGCGAATGCGGTGTTTGTATAGCCGTCAGGTATCGCTTGTGGAAGACTTTTCATCATGGGAAAGGGTCCTTCGGCAAGCCTGGATTGACCTATTAGATCCTACTGTAGCGGTTGAATTTGTAGTTGTTGTGCCGCAGCCTGAACAGATGGAGCCGATGATTGCCGGCCATGTGGTTCTTGTGCAGCATGCAATTGAAACTATGTCTTCCCCGCTTGTCACAATCTCTGATGTTGCCATCCATCAAGGCAAACCATTTAGAGTTGTGATTGCAGTCAATGAAAATGCACGCTCGAGGGATTTCCTCCAAGGAGTTGGCTATGATCGAAACTGCTATCTGGAAGCTGCGCAATGCCAACTCCGACATGGTACTCTTGCAATTTCTGAAGGACGGGTCATTCCAGTTCGGGATGGTGATTGTATTTATGTGCAGATCACACGTCCTTTTCTGCCGAGTGATTGGACACCACCTATAGTACCTTTTCCGCCTGGCGTAGAGGGACAAAGTTTCCTTCAAATCCATTCACAGCTGAAACACAGGAAGTCACCGAAGCAGCATAGAGAATCAAACCCTAATCCTGTTCAACTAGTGACTTGGTATGTGGACCAAGAGCGCCCGATTTGCAGATCGTTTAGATGTGTCCTAGTTTCCTCAAATGATTGTCTGGCTAAATGTGCAGAGGAACTTTGGGATGATGTCCTCAAAGGGCAAACTTGTCACATGTATGCAGTTGACACCATGTGCAAGGTGATGCCGAACGTGGAACATGAAGAAATTTGCTTTCTGCTGAGTAGGGATCCGCAGTCGAATGCAGCTGTGGTACTGCTTGAATCCGCTCTGGACACAGGAAGGGAGGTTGCAGTTGAACATGTAGGTATTTTTGCTGCCGATAATGCACCATTGCAGAGCCTCTGGACGCACCTGCAAGGACGCCCAGGCTCCCCTAAGCTTGATGTCATTGACACCTTTATCCAGGGCAGACAGTGCACTGGATCTATGTGGCCATTGCTTACATCAGGTATGTGTATCAGTTTTTGGATGGACCAAAAGAAACTTTCCCAACAGCACATCCGAATTGATTTCACCGATGTAATGCATGTGTTCAATTGGCTTGATACACATTTCTTTCTGCCACAGTTTGATCTGCCTCAACATTTCCCATTTTTGCCCTGTAGTCTTGATTGGACGCAGTATTGGTGGGATCAGAATTCCGGGGGAACGCAGTTGCGGATTTATTTTGATGGTTCGTACATCCCTACGGAGCAAGGATTGAAGGCGGGGGCAGCAGTTGCGGCATTTATTGGTGATCAAAAGGGTTGGACCTTTGCAGGCGCATTGTCCACCAGTTTATCAAGCATTTCTACATCGCATTCGGCTGAGACTGCTGCTAGTATTCTTGCCTCCAAATTTATTTTTGATTTGCTGAAACTGGTGCGACTCCATGCCCAAGACACAGAGTTAGAGGTGTTGCTCTGCTATGACTCACTTACAGCCGGTAAGCAGACGGCTGGGTCATGGAATGCGTTCTCAGATCCGATCTCAGGACATTTACTGAGAAGCTTACAGAAAGTTATTGAAACCAGATTTCGAATCAAGATGTCGTATCGGCACATCAAAGCACACTGTGGAGAGCCCGGCAATGAGCTAGTAGATACCCTAGCCCACCAAGCGGCCTTGGGTGAACCCCTACATGATTTGGAAGATTGGCTCAAATTTGTCACAGCTAAGGCATTTGTTGACGCAGCTGAATGGGTTTGGTATTTGTTTCGGTCGGATTTGTACTGGGAAGGGAAGTTTCTTTGCATGCCGGCAGCGCCTGCCACTCTGCCCACTGACTTGGCAGTACCCACCCCAACGGAGGGACAGGACTCGGAGATTGCGGAGGTTGGGGAACTTGCGCTCAGGCTTGCCACATGTAATGTTCTTTCCCTTTTGCCATCGTCATCCAAATCTCTATCGTTTACTGGACCTGCCCGTCAAGAATGTCTTCTTCAACAATTTGAGGAAGAGCAGATTCACATTTTTGCATTTCAAGAGACCCGGGTCAAACGGCTCTCAGCAGCTCATGATGCCCGCTACTGGCTCTATCGAGCCCCAGCCACAGCACATGGCCACTTTGGTATGATGATTGGACTCACGAGGACCCGTCCTATTGGTGTTATCGGCACAGGTCGGAAGCAGAAGGACATTTTCTTTGCTCAGGATGATGCCTCTATTGTTGCGGCAAACCCTAGGTATCTTGTCCTTAGAGTTAAGACAGCTCTGTTCCGTGCCATCATCATTGCAAGTCATGCTCCACATTCAGGTGCTGCCACAGCTGAGATCACTGCTTGGTGGTCTGAACTTGCTGGTGTCATTCCAGCCAAATATGCGATGTGGCCACGCATTTTACTTGCGGATGCAAATGCTCGGGTTGGGTCAGAGCCATGCCACCATATTGGACCGCACCAGGCGGAGCGTAGTTCTGGTAAGGAAGAGGGATTTATTCAATTTGTCCGTACGCAGGGTCTGTTCTTACCAGCAACGTTTGCCGGATGTCACAGTGGTGAAGGAGGCACTTGGCTTCATACCAATGGGCATTGGTGTCGCAACGATTTTGTGGGACTGCCAGTTGAGTGGCAATATGAATCTTGCCATTCTTGGATTAGTTGCCATATTGATGCGGGATTAGCCAAGGAGGATCATCGTGCAGCTGTTGTGCAATTTGCCAAGCATGCAAGGGTCCTGAAGACCTACAACAGGAGGCCACAGTTTAAGTTGAATCTGCAGGAGACAGACCGACTTTGCCTGCCGGATACCATCCATTGTGATTGGTCCATTGATGTGCATACTCATGCTCAAACCCTTCAGGATGGGCTCGTTGAGCACCTGTGGGGACAACACACCCGGCCGGTGAAAAAGCCAGTTAAAAGCACTATGTCTACCGCCACATGGGAGTTAGTGTGTCAGAAACGTGACTCTAGGCATATCCTAGCACAGCATGGGAAGGTACACAAAAGTACATTGCTTGCGGCTTGGTTTGCTTGTTGGAAGCATGCCACTGTTGATCTAGAGTCCCACAGCCTCTTTGCTGAGTATGATACACTACTCCGCCAACAGGACAGACTGGTTGCTGTTGCATACTCTCGATTTCGATGTTTGGGAAGACAGGTAGTCAAAGCGTTGCGTAAGGATGACATTGAATTCTATGACAAGTTGCTGCGAGATGGGGCCTCTTTTGTTGGCCCGAGGGAAGCTAAGCAGCTATGGCAAGTTGTCAGGAGGTCATTGCCCCGATTCCGCCAACGTAAGATGACAACCCCTCCTTTTCAATTGGAAGGCCTTGAAGATCAGTGGATGCCTCATTTTGGTCAATTAGAAGCGGGCACAGCTATTTCATTGCCTGAGCTCTTGCAGACCTGTGTCAAGCGACAGACCCGCCAATTGTTTGATGCACCGCAAACTTTGTGTATCAGTGAATTGCCCACCCTTTTTGCCTTAGAGGATGCATTCAGACGGACCATGCCTGACAAGTCCACTGGAGATGATCCGCTCCCTTCCGGGCTTTTTCATCATGGAGCCAGTGCAATGGCAGGATTATACCATGATCTTCTGGTTAAGGAATTCCTTTGGCATTCTGAACCCCTGCAATTTAAGGGTGGGCCTGTTGCCATCATCCCGAAATGCCTTGCACCCACTACAGCAAAGCAGTTTCGTGGCATACTTTTGCTGGGCAATATGGCTAAGCGTACGCATTCAGTGTTGCGTAGTCATGTCATGAAGCATCTCTCACCGGCTCGAGCGCCTGGCCAATTAGGAGGATTTCAGGGACAGCAAGTCATGTTTGGATCCCAGGCCCTCAGACTTTTTGGCAAGCTGGCCGATGTGAAGGGTATTAGTAGTGCGGTGTTATTCCTTGATCTCACCAGCGCATTTCATCATTTGGTTAGGGAGCTAGTCACAGGTTTGTCTACGCCAGCTAGCCTTGATGTTGTGTTGGATGTGCTTACGAAAACGGGTCATCCTGCTGAACAGATCAAAGCAGCTTGTCAGTTGCCAGGTTTATTAGCAGAAATGGGAGCACCTTCGTCTCTAATCCGCCTGGTTCGAGATATCCATGCTGAAACATGGTGCTCCCTCCCAAACCGGAAATACCTGCACACTCACCGTGGAACAAGACCAGGGAGCCCTCTCGCAGATATCATCTTTCATGTTCTCATGGCTGCAGTTGCCAAGGACGTTGACGCATGGATTCTGGAACACAGGGTGCATTTGCCAGTATTGCCTACCCTGGATGATGCATTCCCTAGTATCCTGTGGGCAGACGATGTAGCTATTCCGTTAGCCACCGAGAAGGCAGAGGATCTTGTTCCATTACTTCTCGATTTATTGAGAACAGTGAGAGAAGCATTACATGCCAGAGGTTTTCTGTTGAATTTCGCGTATGGGAAGACCAATGCAGTTGTGTCCTTTCGTGGCACAGGTGCTAGTGAACTTCGTCAAACCTATCAGCTGATCGACCAACCAGGGGTTTGCTGTAGGTTTGTTGATGGGGAGGAATCCTGGCTTCATTTTGTTCCAACTTACAAACATTTGGGTACCTTTTTCACATCGGACCATGGTTTGGAAGTTGAACTTTCAGTCCGCATTGGGACGGCAGCATCCGCCTTTGCGCACCTAGCCAGACCTCTCCTGACCAATCGCCATCTCCCCACCAATATTCGGCTGCGACTTTTTCATGCACTCATTTCCTCTAAACTGTTTTTCGGACTAGGAGCGTGGCATACCTTGACTCCGAAACAATTGCAGCGCCTCACTGGCTTTTATGTTAAGTCATTGAAAAAAGTCATGCGGTGGCCACAGGAGAAGTGGATGCAGACTAATGCCCAAGTGTTCGCAGCTGCACAAGTCTTAGATGTACGGGCGAGACTAGCGGCTGATCGACTCCTCTATGCTCAGAGGGTGTTTGCGGTTGGCCCCTTTTTCCTGCAGAATGTTATCCACATCGAAGCAGCCGCTGTCAAAGATTCATGGCTGGCAGGGTTGAAAGCAGATCTTGCTTGGATGGATGCAGTCACTCCCAATACCTTGCCAAAGGAGTGGAAAGAGGACATGACGTCCTTGATTGAGCAATGGCAGAATGCTCGATCTAAATGGAAAGTGCAGGTTAAAGCTGTGGCACGCAAGCATCAATTTCAAGAGAAAATGATGGCAGACATAGTCTCACTGCATAAATCGGTATTCGATGTGCTGCGCAACTCCGGTGCATCTTTTCAGAAGGATCCCTTTGCTGTTTCTATTGAGGATGGAGACCAGCAGTGCTTTTGTGGGGCTTCCTTCACTACGCACAGAGGTCTCCTTGCTCATCAAAGACGCAAACACATGATTTTCTCAGCCGAGCATCGATTTCTACAGGAAGCAACCTGCATGCATTGTGGTAAATACTGCTGGACGACACAGCGTCTGCAGCAGCATCTTGCGTTCATTCCCAAGAAGTTAGGTTACAATCCGTGTTTCCATGCCCTTTCTTCGCAGGGAAGAAGCTGTGATTATGCCGCAGTCAAGATGCCGAAGGCAGTTGTCGGATTAGCAAGGCGTGAATCCCTACAAACAAGTGGGCCTCAGCTTGAACAGCCGACTTTGATTGCCAAACAAAGGGCACAATGGGAGGAAGAGTTAGCTGCATGCCATGTTCAATTGATCATCTCTGATGAACCACCAGATGCTTCCGAGCGAGGTGCTCAGATTGGAGATGCGTTGACGGCATGTACGCAACAGTGGTTTCAGATGTATTATCCTAGTGGTGCCAATGAAGCAGAAAAACAGGAATTGATTGATGGATGGATCCAAGTCCTTTGCATCGATTTTGGAGACAATAATGTTGCATGGGATAACTGGCTTGCTTTCGTTTTCCTTGCATGGGGAGACCATTGGTTACCGGATATCATTGCAAGTTTTTTGGATGGAGAAGCAGAAGGAGTTGTGGATGAGCTCTACGCTCAGTTCGCTGCTGAACTGCCTAGGTATCAAGTCCTCGCTCGTATTGCTTTCTTAGAGACTAGTCTGAGGCACTGTGTTGAGCAGGAACCTTTGCCCCATCGACCTCTGAAAGCAACAAATGAAGCAGTCAAACATCCAAAGAGCACTTCGCAAGTTTATCAACCTGTGCCACGACGTTTTGGGGAGCATGATCAGTGGTTGAGGGATATGAGACAGTGCACCTTTGATTCCATACCGGATGCTGCTCGATGTCCGAGGTACAAGGATGTTGCTGACCCACCGACGTTTTTAGTGATTCACTTGTTCAGTGGAAGACGCAGGAAAGATGATTTCCATGATGCACTAAAGACAATTGCAGCACAGAGCTGCTGGCAAGTCATAGTCTTGTCCATGGACACCGCAGTGTCCCTAGAGTATGGAAACCTCATGATTGGGGCACCCTCGTGGAGTTCCCTGATTGCACTTTATATGGATGGACGAGTTTCGGCCACATTGTGTGGTCCACCATGTGAAACCTTTAGTGAAGCAAGGTTTACTGAAGCACCAGATGGAGTGTCTCGGTGGCCGCGACCTTTGCGCTCGATGAGCAGGTTGTTTGGCCTTGAGGACCTCACGATGAGGGAATTGAGACAGTGTGCGGTAGGCAGTTCTTTTTTCCTTCAGTGTGTGTGGGTGCTTTGTATCCACATTGCCTATGGTGGCCTCTTCGTTGCGGAACATCCAGCACTTCCCCATGACACTGAGAGACCAAGTATTTGGTCTAGCCCGATCATCCAGCTCCTTCTTCAGTTGCCCGATCTACATTTGCATCATGTAGCGCAATACCGTTGGGGAGCAGAGGCTGTAAAGCCAACCGGCCTATTAGTCTGGGCGATGCCATTTTTCTGCAAGGACCTTTATGAGAAGGCTCTGAGCGGCGTGGCCAAGCCGACGACAGTAGCGATTGGGAAAGATGTTCAGGGACGTTTTTGTACAGCACGTCATAAGGAGTATCCTGGGCCATTTTGTCATGCGATTGCACATGCCTTTGCTCAACAATTCACTAGGCTGGTGCGTCGCAATGAGCTCAGACACCCATCGCCTGTACAGCCTGAGCAGAATGAGTGGATCTCTTCTGCTGCTGCTATCAGCGAGGTCATCCGGTGTGATGCCAACTGGTTACCCGATTTCCAGGACCTCTAATTCATGCAAGCGAATGTGCTGCAAGGGTTGAACCCTTCGAGAGCCTGAAATGAAAATGAAAAAAAACAAGCAAACGTACCAGTATCAAGCCCATGTCCTCAGAATTTCTTAATTACTTTCACACCGGTGGGTTCGTTTCTTACATGGTATATAGAATGTGCACAGTGACGTGCGCGTTTCAAATTGAGTATTTGCCGTTTACAAATCTTTAAAGGAGACTCTGATAATCTCTGATACATGCAAAACTCATCAAAACAATTTGTACCTCAAGATGGGCAAGTCTCGTCTGGAGCAGTGTCAGTCCACAAAAGAACTTAAATATGAGACCATTTTGAGACCACTTTGTGGAAACTTCAGTGAGCTGTTATTATTTGAGTTCACGGGATTCCTGGGTCACGTCCTTATATACAGTAGCGCACGCAGTTGTTGATTTAGTGTCATATTCGATCTGTACGGGTTTCTCGGATTTCTTTCAAGTTCCATGTGCATCTGTGGAGCACTGCAAAGCTCAACTGTCTATCTTTGCGCAGGTGGACAACGTTGGCAATGCCTGGGTGGCAGGCTTCACGGGAAGCTCCCTGGATGGGCACACCAATGCGGGCTACAATGACATCTTTCTGATGAAATTCGATGCCCAGGGTGTCCACCTGTGGACGCGCCAGCGCGGTGGTTGGGGCAATGACCATGCTCGGGCTCTTCAGGCGGACGGGGTGCGACTTCGTTTTCGAATCTTTTACATGGAGGAAAAACATGGAAAAACTTTAGAACCTCTTGCGAGGTCTATGTTCTGAGTCAGGTGGAATGGCATCACAGTGTGCGGGTCAATATTAATTGTTGTGCCTTCAAAAAAGTTGATACAGTACTTTTTGCTTCGAGAATTGGAAACAAATGAATTCGATCGATGCACTTTCCTTAGTAAGTCTCTCACCTTCACACAGGTTGGACACGGCTGGTACATGGTCCAGTATATCTGTCAGATATTATCTGATATTTACAGATTATTCAAAGTCTAGTATGTGACATAGCATACCTACACATGCGTGTTTTGCACTAAAAGATGAATATTTGATT